AGTCACGCTGCACCAAATTCCACGCACATTTGTTTCTGATGATGCCTGATTTTTTCCACCCAGATCCATGAATTATCGCCTGGGGAAAGAAAAACATCTTTCATCGTAAAGAAAGTTAAAAAATATATATCCCTGATCCGCACCGGGAGGTTTCTTCTCTGACCTGTAACTCGTGGAAACCTGTCATGTTGAGCCAAACGTTGGTCCCATCTGCTGCCAGGATGACTCCTGCTTCCTTTACAGCACGGAGCTGCATCTGTCTCCATCTCTCCCAGACCTCGTTTACCGATGATGAACGAGTCGCAGGCACCGACCTCTGCATTAGCATTCAGCATTTATCTCCACTTCCATTGTCTGGCTCTGGTCTCCAGTGACATCAGAAACCATTTACTCCGTGATGGACCTCTGTACTTTCGCAACAGAATGTCTGAAGAGTTATTGTGTTTTGAATTTTATTACTTTCATAATGGTGTTCTTGTTTCCAGCTGTGATATCCCTGCTCACTGGGGGGAAAATTCAAACTTGGGACTTATTTAAGATGCAGGATGAGGTGCTGAGATTTGTCTTGTGCCTGGTAACTGACAACAGAAGTTTTAGAAGTGACTCTTAAAGTACAGCAGTAGTCTGGACTAATGTTAAAAACATGGGGGCCTCCGTAGAGAGGGTCCCCTCGATGTAAATATAAAGTATTTAAATATAAAGTATTTAAATAAGAAGCGCCTTTTCTGAGATAAAGAAAACTACAATTCATACAATTTAGATGAAGCGAACTAGTGAAAACATCATGAGGATTATTCTACATTCAATTAAATAGTTCCCTTTCACCTAAATCTTACGCAGTGGACCTTTAATTAAAAGGTGTCGCAGACAATATTCTTCATTTCTCTTCACAAATCTATAGAACAAAACAATAAAAATAACAATGTGTTCCTGTGTCTGTCAGTCGGGACCTTCTGAGTGTCCTGATCTGGAGAGTTTACAGAACCGTGTTGGAGGTTTAGGTTTTCCTCCATCACACAACACCATCAGGAGGGGGCGGGGGGGGGACACCTGACGGGCCCCAGATTTATTCAACAGCATGAGAGAGAGCCAAGAAGAACAAGGAGTCCTGCAGCAGATGGTCGACGCCCCGCTGAGCCCTGATCTCAACATCACGGAGTCGGTCTGCGATCACACGAGGGGACGAGAGAAACCGAGGCCGACTAACTCTGCGGAGGAGCTGCGGAGGATTCACTGAACAACCTGCCTGACACGGACAACTGTGTGGAACAGGCCTGTTCCATGGAAGACATGTTGACAGCGGAGGGAAAGCTCAGGTAATAAAATGACTGAGGTTCGAATCTACAGTTCACGCTCGCTTTGAAACTGAGAACGATTCATTTCCACTGTTTAGAATATTACTCAACTCTGCTGCTGTGCTCACACTGATGTCAGAAAACCAAACTAAGGAGCTTCTAGTGTCCACTGAGATTAAACCTCATCACGCAGCACAAATAACAAAGGGAGACTAACAAACACTCTCTCCCTCCCTCCCTCTCTCCTCCTCCTCCTCAACACAAACTCTCATTAGAACAAATTGAGGCTAAACCAGGGAGCAAATTGGTCTCTCAACAATCATTTTCTTTGTGTCCGCTGAGCCTCTAGAAGGAGATGATCGGTGTCAGTGGACGGAGCAGAGAGACACAGCGAGGGGAACAGCAGAATGTCAAACTCACCCAAAAATAAAGATAGTGGAACATCTGTCTGCCGTCCTGAAACGGCTTCTAGAGTTTGACACGTGTCTTCGTGAGTGAGAAAGAGAATAAAGGTTGTGATCGATGTTTGACGTGTCTGTCAAACTGATGTATTGATTTTGTTTGACCAGCATGAATTGATTTCCACAGTTTCAACTGTTTTGGGAGTTTTACTGTGTTTCCAGCCTCAGTGTGACTTTCAAACCGTTTGTTACGCGGCCTGTCGCTCACTGTTACATCGTCTGGAGGCATAAGAATCTTCTTTAAATGCCAGTCATCCAGGAGCAGAGGCTAACAGCACGGGTTCCTTCACTGTACAATATGTCGCTCTAACAGCAAAGTGAATAAATTGAGGTTAAATAGGGCGTAAAAGGAAAATGTCAAGTAGAAGAAGACAGAGGAAGAAGCAGCGGAAGAAGACGGAGGATGCGTTCGCTCTGTATTCAGAACCTCCCCTCAGTTTTGATCAGAAATATGAAATAGCTACAGAAGATGATTTTATTGACCGTCGTTATTTGTATCTTCTAATTATAAATACATCTTATTGGGCCCATTATAGTTTCGTGAACTCCATTTTAAGTTTCCATCTCAAACAAACTGAACAAAAATGAAACCTGAAGCAGAAAAGACTTCCTGTAGAAACCAGAATTCATTCTCAGATGTTTCAACTGTTCTTCCCTGGATCATGAGTTTGACGTTCAGACGCACAGCGAAGCGAGGCGACGCTCATTTAATTCTCAGCTTCACCAGAACTCACTGATGATCATTGAACAGAATTCCAATGTGCAGAGAGAAAACTGACGATGGAAATGTAGATGTATTTGTTCTTTCTTTTCCTTTTTACAGCTGCCCACTGAGGATCTCCAGCAAACTTCACTGAACCATATCAGCACAGATTTTTTTATTTCTTAAATTCACAGCCAAGAGGCGTCAGATCAGTTCAGGGATTTGATTCAACATCATTCAGGTCAAAGCCTGATTCATTCAAGATAGATGAAGAGAAAGATGCGTCTTAAAAATGAATCTGGGATGTTTAGCTTGAAGCACTAAACCACTAAAGTAAAAGCATTTTGATAAAATAATGTGAGACACATTTTGCTGAATAGTAAAATGTTAAACGGACTGTTTTGAGCATTTCTAGTCCCTCATCCACTCAAAACGCTT